CATCTATCTTAGTGCTTAAAGGATAAATCCTGGCCCAGATCCATTAATACAAAATAAAGAGCAGGTACATGAGCAACAAACAGATTGCAAAGTATTTCCTTTGCTTCCAGAACCTCCCAGCTCTAGGGGAGTCCCCAGCTATAGCTCCAGAATTTCTCTGCCTTCTCAGACTTCACAAGAGTCTGTGCTTTTCTCCACTTTCCCAGTTTCTATAACTCTCCCTAGGCCTCCTGTTTTGTTCCGTAGGAAGCTAAATTTTATCTAAGGTGCACCATGGGCAAATGCCCTTTTAGCTCTCTTCCCCGACCGCAAGAAAGATCAACACCACGAGAGCCTGGGAGTGTTTGCCTTGCAGATCAGCAGCACTGCTTCAGCCTCGGGATGAGTCGTCCTCTTTGGAGAATGAATTAGCTTGTATTTTGAAAAGGTTGGGGAGAAATAAAAAGCAGGAGAGGAGGCAGCTGAAGACGAATGCAAAGGAGGCTTCATGATTCCCTGGATCTCTCCTTTAAACTGAAAAGTTGCAAAAGTCGCCGGAACCCTGAAGTAATTTGGCCTTCTGTTAATAGAGCAATTTAATCCACTGGGACAAGCTGTACAAGATATAAGATTTTATCAGTTCTCAGCTATTCACTCTGGCTTGGTAATTCATGAGAGGTGGGCTCCCAGAGCTGACTTTCCAGGAATCACATCCTGGACCTCAAGGGCCATATCTACAACCCATATGTCCTGCATATAGCCCAAGAAGTGTGTTTCAAACAGTAAGGTTTTGGGGTTTTTATTTTAGTTTTTGAATAACTCACCTTCACCACCAAGCCAATAGGACTCTTGTAGAAGGAAGAACCAAGGAAGTGGGGTTCCATAGTCCCCTAAAAAGAGACAGGCAAAGAAAGAGGAAACCTAAGTAGTCTCCTTATCCCACCTCACCATAGCTCTATAAGATCTGGAATTTATCTATCCAAACCTCAGATTATAACTGTAGATATTTATAGTTCACAAACCATTGCACGGCTCTCCACAAGCTACCATAAAGACTACTACTCCAACATGCTGTGATCCCAAAGGTCATGTTTTTCGGTGTTACCGGCAACACTAAGACGGGTGATCTTGGTTGACATTACTTTTTCAAGAAAACATTTCATTAAAGTATTAAACCATGACTACTCCAACATGCTGTGATCCCAAAGGTCATGTTTTTCGGTGTTACCGGCAACACTAAGATGGGTGATCTTGGTTGACATTACTTTTTCAAGAAAACATTTCATTAAAGTATTAAACCATGTTTTTTTTTTTTCTAGCAGTTACCAGATAATAATGGTGATGATCATTAACATTTGTTGGATGCTCTGTGTCAGGGATTGCTGTAAGTGCTTTCCATGTGTTAAATGATTTAATCCTCAGAACAACCAAAGGAGGTAGGTGATGAAGTTATTCTTGTGGATAAGGAAACTGAGTTGGAGCCATCTGCTCCAGGTTATAGCTAATTAAATAGAAATGCACAAATTTCAACACAGGTAATCTGGTTTTCATACCACTGTTCTTAAACCACCCCCACACTCCCATTCTACTGGATCTGGGTTTCTAGAAAGACTCCCTGTTGGGAAAATATAATCAGGCCACCTTGCCTTGAGTCCTGTTGGGGGTGGTGCAGCACATTCTTTGTAAATAAGGTGTGTGGGGGTGGAGTTAGTGTGTATGCACGGCACCCTGGCTTGGCTGGCATTGACTGCCTCGGGCGTCTGACCCTGCAGCCATGCTCTCAAACCTATGGCTCCAAGGACCTTTTTGCTGGTTACATAGGTCACAGACCTGCATGTGAGGGGTCTGGTGACCCAGTCTGACATGTGAAGGGTTTGTGACCCAGTCTGTGAATGGGCTTGAGGGTTCTGTGAGTTCCGGCCCCAGCCCCAGCTCTACACTCCCCAATTTCTAGTCCGGTTCTCTTTGCAAGTTTTGCTTCCTACAAAATACTGACTTTGTAAAAACACCATCTTTGGCTGTCTTAGCAGTTGTCATGTGTTTCATGACCTTTGCCACCACTACACTGCAAGTTCCTCAGGCAAACCTGGGTCTATCCTTCCCATCCCTCTATTCCCGGAGGCTGGATCTGCTGAGCCTCATGCACAGGTGCTGCTTAGTAAGTAGCTGCTGAGCAAATGAAAGCTTTAGCTTGGCTAAAATAAAGCTCTTGAATTGTGTACAAGTTTCAATTTCAACCCAAGTAATTTTTACTTATTATATCTCTTTCCAGCAGCCCAGTGAGATAGAAAAAACAGGCTGAGCAAGTTTAAGTGTTTTGCTGAAAGTCTCTTTCATGGATTGAATTGTGTCCCTCTTCAAAAAGATATGCTGGATTCTGTGGTATAATACAAAATAGAATTGGTCTTTGTCTCCAGTTCCTGTGCAGGACACAGATCTCCTAAATCCCTTGGAATCTCCTGAGTGATAGGCATGTATTTTGTTATTCATAATGAGGCCCTCTCTCCACCACACCTGAGTTTATGCTAATGAGGTAACTCAGGATGGGACCCCAAGATAGCTTCACAAGGACCAAACATGTGAACAGAGGACTTTTTAGCCCCAACCTCCAACCTCAGGGGAGGGAAAGGGAGGTAGGCTGGAGATTGGGTTGTAAAAACTTTTGCACTATGAGATTTGGAGAGCCTCTGGGTTGGTAAACACATCAAGGTACTGGGAGGGTGGTACACCCAGAGAGGGCAGGAAAGTTCTAGGTCACCCCCAACCCACATCTTGCACCGTGCATTTCTTTCGTTTGGCTCTTCCTGGGTTGTATTCTGTATTATAATGTTGTGGTTGTAAGTCGAGCAATTTCCCCAGATCTCTGAGTCATTCCAGCAAATGATCAAACCCAGTGAGGGGGACGGTCGTGAGAACCCCCGAATTTATTGTTGGCTGGGCAAAAGCGTGGGCAGTCTGGGCACCACATTTGCACTGGCATCTGAAGTGGGGGCAGTCTTGTGGGACTGAGCCTGTGGGGTCTGCACCAATGCTGAATAGTCAGTGTCAGGAATGAATTGAATTGTTCATTCATTCAGCTGGTGGCAGAGAACTGGTTGGTGTTGTAAAAAAACACACATTTGGTGTCAGAAGTGGTGTCAGGGAAAAAAACACCAGAGTCCTAATCTCAGGTACCTCAGAATGTGGCCTTGTTTGGAAACAGTGTTGTTGCAGATGTGATTAGTTAAGCTAATGAGATCTCACTGGAGTCAGGCACCATTCTGCACACTGGGACTATCTCAGTGAACAAAAAAGACCATGTGCCTCCTCTCATTAGAGTGTCGATAAATACAAGGGAACTTCAAAAAGTTAATGGAAAAATAGAATTGAGAGATAATACAAATCTTTCATGAACTTTTTTTTTTTTTCCCTTTTTGTCTTTCTTCGTGACCAGCAACGGATCGCGACCCTCAGTGTTGCGCCTGTACCGGACCGGGACCGGCAACGGGATCACAACCCTTGGCGCCGTGCCCGCACCTCGCTCAGCCAGTGAGCGGCCGGTCTGTATGTGGGATCCGAACCCTCGGCGGGAGCGCCGCC